TTGCGTGAATCTATTTGGAGAGGACGATCTCGATGTCGTCCGGGGTAAGAGTGATGACGGACTCCGCATCAGAGTCAGAGTCGATGAAGGACTCCTCGTCCTGTGCAGCGAAGCTGGGTCGCTTCGTCTCCGTGAGGGCAAAACCGGGGAGCCATCCGAGGAGAGCGACGGCGGCGATAGCCCACCACGCAAGACCAGACATGTGGAGCGTGGTGCCAAGGCTGTCGACGGCACCCGAGATGGTGGGACCGAAGCCGCGAGAGATACTGGCAGAAGACATGGCGACGCCGTTCAGCGTGCCCAGAACCTTCTTGGATGGGGATGAGTTTGCGAGGATGATGGCCAGGGACGGGTAGGAGAGCGATTGGAAGGTGACCTTGGCCATGAGCAGAACCGCAAGTCCAGGGATGCGTAAGTTCTCGGGAAGGATAGCCAGGTAAGGAGCAAGGAGGTACAAGATCGGGTAGCAAGCTAGAGTGATCCAGAAAGTGCGAAGGCTGCCGAGCCTCTTGCTGACCCAAGGGAAAAGGATGACCTGTGCGAACATCTGGAGGAAACCTTGCACTGCGAGGAACGCGCCGGTCGTTTGAGTGGACCATCCGAAACCACCCTCAAAGCGGAAGGGAAGATGTTGGCTTCCCTCGGTTGGCACATGCTTGGACATGAGAATAGGTAGAAGTTGCTCGAGAGAGATGGTGTGGAAAGCAAGAACACCATAGCACACTACGTTCAGGCACACTTGCTTGGTGAATGCTTGTCGGAAAGTCGGCGCTGGCTCGAACTGCTTGTCCAACTCAAATTCCGGGACCTCTGAAATGGAAGTTCGTGTGCTGCAGAGAGTAGGCGAAGTGTCGGTGCTGCGGTAGGCCTGGACGTCGTGGTCGTGGTCGCTCAACATCGAGCGCATTTCGTCAAGCGAAGCATCCTTGTCGTCAAATCTCGCATCTGCCTCGCGCTTCCACAGCTTCTGGAGAAGCCATTGCCCCGCTTCACGGCCTCGATCCTGGTCGTATTTGCGATCCTCGTGGGTCTCTTCCAAGAACAAAATACCGACAGTCAGGCCGAGAACGACAAAGCCGGTGCAGACCAAGTTTGGAAGAAGGAACGGGTACGTTTCGAAGATGGTGTCCTGGAAAAACGGCATTACGTTAGCGGGACGAGCGAGCAAGCCGCCAAGCGCTCCGCCAATGATGGTGCTACAAAAAGCGGTCAGCGTGTGGACGAGTCGGGCTGCTAGGAAATATCTTACCCAAGGCACCAGACAAACGGCATGATGGAATAAGCGCGCGCTATGCAAAGTCAGTCGTGCGCGGCGTATAATTAAAGTTATGGCAAAACTCACGCTGATGTCGCTCGTCCGTAACAAGCTCTGCGACAGTGGTCTGGAGAACGCCGATGTTCCTGCATATTCGGTTAGCGAGGCTCAGACGCTAGATCGAACTATGACCTCACCCGTTAAGCAAACCCCCGAGAGCCCGCGCAATCAACGCCATTGGTAGGCTCTGGGAAAAGCCGAAGAGCAACATGCTCAGCCCCGTACCAAAAAGACCTCCAAGTAGGACCTTCTTCCGTCCTACCCGATCACTGAGTCGGCCCCAGAAAATGCCACTGATGCATTCCATGAATGCGAACGAGGACGTGACCATGCCGGTGTACATGGAAATTTGGGCGGTGGAATGTCCGGTCATGAATGATTCGACCATGAAGTATGCGTAGGGAAATATCGACATGAATGCGATTGGTTCGCATATCCGGCACAACGCTACCATCGTTAGCGACTGTCGTGTGTTGCTACATCATGGCATGCTGCTCACCAAGTACGGCCATCTGTCGGGTTGGGAAAGGTGTTATATCGCTGCCCGCGGCAGCTGCCACGCCATACCGAGCCATGTTGATAGTATCGAAGTCGAATGTAAGGTGGTGTGCAGGTGTAGAGGTCGAGGTCGTCGAAGAAGAATGTCAAATACTATGACAGCAGATGGTGAATGTCAAAGTGAAGTGGGAGTCGGCTGTGACAAATAAGACATGTGCGAGTTTGCGACAGATTAGTACCTCCAGGGCTCAGAGGTCAGAGTCAGTTTGCAAAGGACGCGAGCGTCACAAGGTATATAAGGAGCAGCAAGATTTAAGTGGCGTCCTCAAAACGGATAGACCGCTGGGATGAGCAAGGATTGTGGCGGCGGGGAAGAAACGGAGAACAAGCGGTGATGGCAGTGGGTATGGATACGTAGTGTGGGCGGATGGGGACAGCGGAGGGACCAGCGAATGTAAAATGAGTAGCGGATCCGTGATGCCATCGTTGCTACGAAACAGCCCACCGTCTGTCGATAAGCGACCGGAAAATGCAGTGCTGGCAGCCGAGCTGTACCTAGCTCTGTTTTTTGTGACTCCATGTCACCGGACGGGCTCTGTGAGTCTGTGTGAGCATGCGAGAGCGAATGCAGCCCCCTGAAAGTGGGCCAGGGCTGGGCTGGGGAAGCTTTCTGCTCATCGAACAAACCGGTCCGGGTTGGACGGAATCCACGACATTGGACGAGCTAGAAGGAACCGAGTAAGGCGGACCAGGGAGAGTTGCAAGAGCGTTGGACGTGGCTCGTAAGAGGAACAGGATCAACAGAGCAACCCGACTCCCCGGGACCCAAATCCTCGGCGCTAGAGATGCCCGCATGCCTCTACCGACATTCACAGGCACTAGCGCCCTGAGTCGCGCCAAAGCAGGGGAGACCCTGTCGCTCTGTGAACGACATGGCAACATGCCGGCGACTTGCGGCTTGCTTTCCTTCCCTAAACGGACACAGCGGCCCAGAGGCCGATGCCCCGCCAGCAAATAGGACGTCGTGCCGCCAATGGTGTAGAACACAAGGCGATGCTAATTTTCGCAGCGCCCAGTTCAGGGGCACCAGGACACCAAGCCGCGGTCAGACTTTTGACGTGAGGCGAGTCAGAAGATTCGCCGCAGAATTTCGAGAAGCAGCTTGGGCCATGCAGCTGGGGCCCTCGTTGTCATTGATGATGAGCGTCTGTCATGGCATCATACCTTGCTGCTTGATTGCTCCGACAAACCCCCAAAAAATAGCGGTGTACTCCATGCCTATTCGGCAGATGCACACCAACCGGTCACGCGGCAATGCGCATTAGACAACGTCGCTTTGTTGCAATGCCTGGCGATCCGGATGGTCGTCAGCGCCACAAGGCACGAGTCGCGGCGCTTGAATGGCCGAGGAGGACGACGCAGCGCGTTTCGTATCCCTCAGATCGCAACCTGGCACTAGGCGTGCGGCGATTTCATTTGCTGCCCCAGGTATCATCTCTCTGCCCCCCTGTCCGGTCAGCGTGGTTTCGAAGCTTCCCACGCCTGCGCATTGGGCCCAACCGGGTCGCAGGACGTGGCTTGCTGCTTGCATCTGTCATTGCTGGTCACACATCGTGATTGCATTCTCATCAGTCATCAAGGCATCATAACCCTAGGACCCCCATCAGCTGACGAGGCTCTGCGCCCTTCTGCGGCGACGTAGCATCTGTACTGCTGCCCATTTCAGACCGCTTGATTAGGTTTTGCCAGCACTCCCATTTCCGGTGGGCCCCGGACATGCTTCCGTCATGTGCTGTAAGTGAGCTGTCGCGGTATACCAGCGATCTCTGCTTGCTGGTGCAAAGGTGTCCAGGGCACAACGGCTGTTTCGACGCAACCTGGCCTAAGCGGTCATGGCGGTGTGGATATGTAAGGCTGGCCTGCAGATTTCCACGCGAGGGACAGGGTTCGCAAGAAGATGGAAGCGTCTGAGACAGCCACCGCCTTTTTTAGCGCCTTTAGGTTTACGCCCCCTGGCCCTCTTATTGCTCTACTGGAATCCTCCGAGAATGACACCATGCTTCTTTGCCCTTAGGCAATAGCATAACTCATAGCGTCGTGCCGCGACGAAGATGACAGCAGATGCAGGCGGCGTGGGTTAGAGAGATTTCGGAGGATTGGGGTGTTCACGCGCTTGTCGGCACGAGTGTACAAAAACGAAAAGCCAGCCTTGAAACCGGCAGCGTGGGTCGATCGGAATGATGCTGCCCGATCATTCTGCATCAGGTAGATGCTCGATGCGGCGTCGTTTCTAGGTGCGAGGCTTTGTCTGCCTTCTTTTGCCCTCGGTTGCGACGACGTGTAATACCATCGCCTTAGGCTACCAATAGTGGGCTGACTGGAGCCAGCGCATTTCGACCCGAGCCTTGTACGACGTGGTCATCAATCATCACCAGTGCGGCACAGCGTCTCGAAATAAGCGTAGGAGGGCGAAAGTTGATTATCCTGATGCTGGTGTATAGGCTGGCTCGGCAGGCGCAAAGCGGGATGGCTAACCTCATGTCCCGACACAGGCGTTTCGAGACGATGTAGGTGTGTGTGAGCCAGTTCTGCTCTGACTCGCCAGTCCCAACGGCGCATGCGGTCATGCACCCTCCATGTTATTCTGACGTGAGTCCGGTGGTGTGTGTTCAGCCGGACCGTTGCGAGTGTGCCGGCACAGATACTCGGTCTCAGCATGCAGACAGAGCCTTGTCCCAGGGCCGCAGATGACGTCCCGAGCATGTCTGACATAGATGGACGACGGGGATGGAGCGGCAGCCCGGCATCGGGCGGGTGAGGAAGATGCATGCAGTGTTACCGCGAATATATGTAGAGGTGGTGTAGGGATGGTGTTCGACAGGGCGTTGCATCCACGAATAATCAGCTCGACCTCATCAAACACCACTCGCGAACTGCCACGTTGATGGGCAGCCCAGATCCCCCACGATGCTACCATGCGCGCATCTCCTTTCGCGACCCGGTGAGATACAGAAAGGTGTTGGTGGTGTTGCACGCTCAACGAATGGCAGGCGGGGAAGCGCGTTAGACTCAAGCAGGTGAGAACGCAGATCGGCTAGCACTAGCGTCGAACGCGCTTCGGCTCTCTATCGCAGGCGCCGTGCTTGCAGATGCCGAACGACCTACAACCATCATCGTTGCTCTCGAGATGCCGTTGTCCGTCTCTGCGTCGGCTCTCCCGTCGTTTCGGAAGCAGCATCTTCTCGTCGAGTTGTGAGTCGAGGCACACGGCTAGCAGCGGCGCTTCCTAACTCTGCACAGCACCCGTCTGCGCTATGCACAGCTGGATGGCGTTTTCTTGAGCATCACGCCCGGCGACCCAACACTGTGGGTAGGTGTAATATTCGTGCGAAAAGGTAGGCTGTTCTATAGGGCTACGCCACGGCGTTGCGTTCCTTGCAACGTTATTCACGTTTGACAGGACCATATGCGCCTGCAGTCTTACGCTTCCAAATCTCCTTCCCACCCAGCTATCCTACTATACCCCCCCTCGTGACCTTTTCTACCGATGTCTTTCACCCGCTGCTCACGCCACTTACCACGTATACTTACACGACTGGCTCCGCCGACACGGATACCGTCAGTGCCACGGATGAGGAACGGCTGCCACCGGGAGGCTTCAGTCTCCGGCACGGCTTCCCGCACTGGTTCGGCAGAGCTCGAAGATCTGTACCGAATTCTCGCGATGTCAGTGGATCTTCAAATGCTATTCCCGCGCGATCCGACTCCAATGTCGCATCTGGCGTCCTCGGGGCTTCTCAGTCTACTGCGGAGTACTCCATTGTGCGCATGATAGAGTACATCCGCTCAACCTTTAGTGAGGAGTCAATATTGGACTCACTTCCGCTAGAGGCTGCTGCGAATCCAGGTGCGTATCATGCATGGCGGGCGCACCGCGCTCCGATATTGCAATCACAACAGTCAGACCGAGCAACTCCAAGTCCCGACCCTTCCACAACGGACAAGTCCGAAGGTTCATCTGCATTGGGACGTAATCGCCGACCTGGAGAGTGGAACTGGGAGGGGGTCTGGGAGGAACGTGTAAGAAAAGCAGTCAAGGCTAGTATATCGGAACCAGTCCTGTTCGGCGCTGGCGCTGGAGAAGACATTGTAGGTCGCAGCCATATCTGACTAAGCCACTGCTTACTTATATGATAGATTCGCTTTCGCGAGGCGGACGATGAGATGCACGAGAAGATGAAAAGGCATTTAGAAGTGGCTGCCGCCCAACTGGGCGAGGCGTAATGGGAGGACAGTTTGGATTACAGTCCGCATCAAATATCTGGTAGAAGCTATGCGTTGCCGTCCAGAAGCTAAGCATGAATTTGAACGCGTCTTGGTGCGAGTTCTTGATACGATTGTCTTTTTTCAACAGTAGGAAGGAGCATCGTAAGTTTGTTGACGCGCCCACCTCGCACCTTCCCGGCTTGTAACAGTGCCTCTCACCTTTAAACCTCACCTCACCGTTGGACTTCCAACGTCTGTTCGCACATCCACTCTACATCTCAACTTGGGCATTGCCTACTCTTCTTATCTATCTCCCAGATTCCGTTTGCTACCTGACGTCACTGTTGACAGCAAGGCCACGCGTTCTCAAGAAATTCGAGGTGACTGAGAGCGCGCCGCGGTGACTGGGCTTTTATTTGTGCCTAATTGGGACGCGTCCATAATGATCACAACAACAACAGCTGGCAGCGTCTTTCTGGACCGCGCGCCTCCCTGCCCACCTCCCCTCCACATCCAGAAGAAGTCGCGAAAAGCTACTTTTCGAAGGCGAATATTTCGTAAGTCAACTCCTACCTACAGCGACGATCAGTACGTGTTCGGTCCGCTAGACGACATCATCGACGAGATCAAGAGCGATATCTGGGAGTCACCGCACGACTACAGCTTCAACTCATCCGTCTTTGATTGGGCGCAACCGCTCAGGGCACCTTTGTCGTGGACCGTAACACCTCTGCCTGTTTGTCGCGCTCCGGGCGATCAACCTCTGACGGTACGCAAGAACAGAAACAGTCGATCCTCGGCCTCAGGATCCAGTTTTGGAGATCAGATGGCGTTCTCGCGCAAGAACAGCCATGTCGAGCCCGAAAACGGCGACCCAGTACGTTCTATGCCTACCACTGCACTTACCCCTTGGCCGTTGATCGATGTGGCGTCGAGCGAGGCTGCGCACCCTCTCTTCGTCGCCGACAGCGCTGAACACATGAACGCGCAGCAGGCTCTCGAGAAGGCGATCAGCAACACTGAAGGTCACGCCGAACCCCTGAAGCGGCGCATGTCGTCAAAGCTTCGATCGTTTACCAGTGGTCTACCTCTCCTACGCCGCCACAACACTGGAGAGACTAGCGCTGGTATTAGCGATATACCGGGTGCAACGTCGCCAACAGCAGCTACAGCGCTCGCGGCTCACGAAGAGACTGAAGAAGGCTCAGAGGTGCAGCATCCGGACGATGAAGCTGTCGGGGCTTACCTGCTACGAAACGCCCGCAAGTACGTGAACATCTGCGAAGCTATGCAACAGTCACTGATATGATCCAGCGGTAACGAGTTCACCTCCATCATAGGATGTATCTCAAAGCGCATTCCTTCCCCGACTGACTTTGACCATGAGGCTTCGGAGGCACAGGTGTCAGACTTGACCTCCCATTTGCCAACAACCCTGCGCCCAGCGGTTAGACTGTTTCCTGAGGTCAAGCTTCTCACCGAGGATTACCAAGACATCGGCGTTGCTATCGAGATCGAGGGTGTCCTGCACAACCGAAAGCCTCTGCCCGACACCGGTATTGATGTGATCTTCGTGGTAGACAACGGGTAAGTGCCTGCATGGCGGGATCCACGATGCCAGCTGACATTCTGTACAGTTACTATGTGACTCCGGCTTGTCTCGAGAGGTCGCTGGATGCGGTTAATGGAGCCTTGGTAAACCACCATCGTTGATGTCGCTCATAAGCAATCTACTAACCTTTTTAGTATCATCTTGGCGGCGAGGATCGCGTGGCGCTTTACACTACTCACTGCACCCACCGTGATGTCACCGGAAACAGGCCAGAAGTGCTTTATGCACTTCGACCCGTCTGTACGGAAGTCGATGAGATCTTTCAGGATTTGACGTCTAGGATCGCGCACTCTGGTTCGCAAGTCTGGCATCCGCCTCGTCCGAACCCCTCCATGACTGATGTCATCCTTGGCATCGCGAGATCCATGCAGGGCGAGCACCTCAAGGCCGGTCGAACTCATGTCATCGTGCTGTCTCCTGCAGCCCATGTCTTGCACGATGTATCGAAGTCCTTTCCGGATATCTACATTCACCGCATCAATCCTGCGCTGCTCCCATATCGCCGCGAACCAGAGTTCCAGGATACCATCTGTCTTAAAGACTGCTGCAAGAACGTTTTCGCCAGCAACTGGTCCAAGTACCAATCCACGTCCGGTCGCATCAAGCGTATCTTGAAGAATGCTCGGTCTGAGAAGCCTGTTGGCGAACTGTTTGACTTTACGGTCGAACTCCGGACTAAGGCAGGTTGTGAGATTCTCTTTGTCTGTGGAGACAAGGAGATTCGCCGATTGTTTCCAGGACAAGTGCACACCCTCTTCGTCTGGGTCCGCATCAACAAGGCTGAGACTCAGGGCGTTAACCTCAACTCTGACAACCCCATTCTCAACTCATGCCTTGACGCCAACGGACTGAGACAGGAGCTGCAGAACTGTGTCCGTGCAGGTGCCACCAAGGTAAACCCTCTTGAAGTGCAGCTACTGCATCGCAGCTCACTTCACCCGACGCGATCTTGGATGTACACGGAGGCTCAGCTCATCCTCACTCGCGAGCTTGGCGGGCTGGCACCTCTCCTGGATACATCCATGGAGTTTTTCAAGCGTCAGCTTTTCTGCAACCTTTCTCGAGTGTCGGCGGACGAAGCTAAAGTTGTGGCTGAAGCGACTCTTAACACCCTCCCCAAGGATCATGAACAAGCAAAGATGCTGCTGGAGAGCATGTCGCAGGAGATCGAGCTTCACTTGGCGATCCGCAAGTATGAGAAGGAATACCGACAGAGGCTCCCGCTGTGCCCCGGTCCCACCGACGTGGAAGCATCTCACAAGTGGCTTCACGAGCTGTGGGCTCGTAGGAGGAACAAGCGCAGCGGCTCAGACGTGGCCTGATGCCTGTCCGCGAGCATATCGGTGATTCATCAAACCACGGTGGTGAAGGTTGGTGGTGGCTGTCAGCGCCTTTGTTTTTGGCTCGAAGCTGATGGCCAGAGGGTGGAGGAGGATACTGGCGATGTATGTGTTGGAGCAGCGAATCTCGCTTTCGACTTTGGTCCATTGAAGGCGAGTACGATCTGGAACGATCTGTAGGATACACTTCTGGCTATCACGTTCTGGATCATCTTCCACGAGGCGCGGAGGAAGCCGCAGGCTGCCCTGGAAAGCCCAGGCCACACCATCCCAGAATGGTTCGCTGGGGGAATTTCTTGGGCCCCGGATCTTCTACGGTCCCAATATTACGATGTACAAACACTATTAGATTATACCCCAGTGCGAACCATGAGCATCAAACGAGAGATCATCCTGCATACGAGATTGCAAATCTCCTCGTGCTGTTAATCGCCGAGCCGAATGACGTTTGCGTTTTTGCTTTTTCGTTTCATCTCATATGCAGGTCGTCGTTTCTTTCTAGAAGGAGAAGCCCCCGGTCGAACTCGGCTGAACACCCTCATATCCGCGGCAGGGCTCGGAAGTGGGCAAAGAAGGCTGAGAAAAAGCAAGACGATGGTGCACCGGAGTATGCTCCGTCCACCAACCAGCCTACATTCTGCGGCTCGATCGCGAGAGGGTTCGAAGGCCATTTCGCGGTTCACCGCTACCGCCGCTTAAACTGCACGATGCTAGCCTTGCATGTACATACGAAGCTGAGATACGAAAAACAAAAGAATACATGCACGATGCACCAGTGCACGCGATCCCTGAGCAGCCCAAATTTTTTCATGATTCCGTTCCCACAAAACGCAACACCATCGTGCATACATGCAGCAGCTCACAGACGCGCGCAAAGGCACAGACTGCAGACGTAGACAGGGTAAAAGCAGGTGCGCGCATTTACCACCCAAGGCCTAGTTTTGTCCATGTGCATGCTCGTCTCTTCCGATAATCGCGTGCCGCTCCCAGGAACAAGCACAATTACCCTGACTTTGGCGCCAGCGTATTAGGTCGCTGGGCAGCCCGGGAAGTTGCTCCGGCGCCCGGCAGCCAGTTACGCGTGGTAGTCGGACGAGCCGGTGTATGTAGGGATAAGGTTTGGGGCTAGCGAATGTGACGGGCAGAATTGACCTGACCTGACCTTGTACGTAGGATGGATGCCCAATGGCTGCTTTGGGGTAATGGGAATGGGAATGGGGGGTTTGGCGAAGCTTGAATACGGATGGGCATCGTACGATGGGCGTGGTACTGGTAGGGGGGAAGATGGGCGAAGGGTATCCTGGGTAGCGTGGTGCGCGTTGGTTTAGTGCGTGGGTGGGTTGCATTGGTTTTGAGATGGTGAGATGGTACCTACCGGTGATGTATGTAGGTGTTTGCAAGGAAGCTGTGTATGCAGATGGTTGGGGGTGAGAAGATTGCATGAAGCTCTCACCGCAAGAAAGTGATGTACGATGCATTGACCGAGAAGAGTAAGAGCATCGTATTGTTGTTCTGTTATGCAGAGATAACGTGAGCGGTCTCGTTATACTGACATTGTCATTTACCTTATGCATTCGCTACTCGAGAAGTGGCTGCACGGAAATGTTCAATCACGAGTGCTGCAATGAAGGGTACGGGTCTCCATGTGTATTGGGTAGAATTAGAAACTAGCTATACAGATCCTATATACAAGAGAATTGTTTCTGTAGTGCAGTGAACAAGTAACAGCACAAAGTGGGATATTCTAATGTGTATAACGCTTCAAGCAAGACGCCCCAGTAAAACTGCTGGAAGAGTGAGACATGAGAGATGCGTGGTGGAACGCTTCGTTCGACATTGGGCGGAGTCGTTATGATAGACCGTTGTACTCAGACTTAGGAGATATGATTGTCGCGTGGAGTGTATCGACAGGCGACAAACCAAACCTCCAAAGAGACATGCTGCATGCAAAGCCGTGGCCAAAGCCAAAGGAAAAACCTCAAAACTTCGTCCCCACATCCTCAGGACCCCATCTCGAAACCCGTCCTACCCTCCGCGAGATGGAATCGCGATATCCAATCCCAAGC